ATCCTTCCATGTGGCTGCCAGTCCAAGCTGTGGACCTCCTGTGGGCAGTGGCAGCCGACTTAGTAGTGGGTGAGAGTGGGCATGGGAGGCTGACTCGTGCCTGATACACAAGGTCTGATGCATCCTGTGGAAGCTCGGACTTGGCCAGCACATCCTGCTGCTGAAGCTTCATGTGATCTCAGAGTCTTTGTTATCTGCATGTCTTAATCCTTCTCAAGTGCTTTTGAAATGGTTATCTATCACCTCCTTTCTAAAATAATCATCACTCTGCTTTTAAGCAACTGAAGAGTCTCCTGATCATGCATCCCTTAGGGCTGCGGAGCACACACTGAGTTCCTTAACCCTTTCCCGGTGTAAGGGACTCTGACCTCTGCTTCTAGAAAAGGAGATGGAGACTGACAGGGTTACTTAGATTTTTCCATGATTCCAAAAAGGATTTAAGGTGGGTTTAAGGGATCATAAAATACATAGACGACATAAATGGAAAGGAGATGGGAAAAAAGATTTGTAAAATGGAGCCTGAGCTGGCACATTCTGGTCCATGGCAGGTTGATTCCTAGGACGGACTGACACTGCACAGTGGGCACCACAGATTTCAGATTTCAGGCACATGTGGGTGTGCTTGTGCGTGCATGCATGTGTGCGCACACAGATTTAAGTATTCTTAAGTGTTCCTGAATTGACAAGAAAGTATGGGCTTCTCAGACCAGGAACTGGGGCAGAGAAAGCTAAGGATTGTCCTGCTCCAGGAGCACCTGCCGGCCCTGGTGAAATTGATCTCACAGCTTTCCAGGAGGTGGAAAGAGAAGTCCAAGCTTGGCACAGTCCACAGGGAGGCCAGCAAAACTTCCCATGGGGTGGGGGCCCAAAGGGCCAGCCCCTCACTGTGGTGCTGCTCCATGGGCCCTGTTCTCCCCAAAGGGCTCAGGAATAATGAGCCATCTCAAACCTTGCCGCTGAAAAGAGGGAGGCCCTGCTGGCTGTTTGGAACAAACAGTGGGTGACCCAGAGCACCTGCAGGCTCAGCCATTGTGGAGGGTCCAGGAGTCGTTCCCTCCAGGCAGGCAGATTTCCCCACTGGAGAACTGACCTTCATTCCTGCTTCTTCAGCAAAGGCTTTTCACAAAATAAAACTTGAAAGAAAATGAGCGGCTCTCAGTGATAAGGACCGACCACACACAGAAACTTGCTCTGAGGGGCAAGGGTAGAAGCCTCAGCAGACTCAGGCAGAAACACACACAATGATCTTCAGGGAAATAAGAGACAAAATTTTAAATATCTGAAGAAGACAGAAAACTACTTTTAAAATTACCAAGCACATTTGAAAAAGAGTCAAATAAAACTTACAGAAATGCAGGAAATATCACTGACATTACATTGAGCTATGCAGTTAAAAACATACTAGTTACAGTTGAAAGTGACTTGGCTAGAAACTGCAGCTGAAGGAATTACACAGGATAAAGAAATGCAAAATATGGAGGAAGGGAAATGAAGACAGAGTTTAAGGTCTATGATACATATTATCAGAGACCCAGAAAGAGAAGAGAAACTTGGGAGGAGGCAATATTCAGAGACATAATGTCTGAGAATTTGCCAACACTGTCACAAGATACCAAGATCAGAGTCACAGAGTCCAGTGAATCTAAGAACAGTAACTAAATTCTAGATACATCATAAGTAGCCTGGCAAACACCTGAGACAAAGAAAATACACATTTTTAAATATCCAAAGGAGTTAACTAGCTTCATTTGTACTAATGGAAGCCAGAACAAAGTTGAATCATGTCTTTAACATGAGGGGAGGCCAATCTAGTATTCTATGCCTAGCTAATGTATCTGTTAGGATGAAGATGAAACAGACATTTCTACATATTAGTAAGAAATGGTAGAAAATGAAAACTAACCATTGACAATAGCATTTTTCAAACATGAGGTTGCTAAGAATAAATATCACAAAAGATGTGCAAGACTTAAAATTATAAAACTTAAAAGAGAGACACTCAAAAAGATATAAAAAATGAAGAGGTATATAATGTTCATAGGCTGTAAGTTATATTGTAAAAATACTAAATGTCCCAGGTCAATGCAACCATAATCAAAACCCCAACAGTGCGTGTGTGTGTGTGTGTGTGTAACTGATCCTAAAATGTACATGGAATCTAGGAGGCTCAAGAACAGCCCAGTTACATTTGAAGGAAACACTTAGTGCAAGAGGGCTTGCATTTAAGGACAGTGTGGTCTTTGTGCTGGAAGACACAGGCCGGCGAGGTGGGTCTGCCCAGGGGAGAGCCATGGGCACATGGACAGTTTTCAGCAGAGTGTGATTGATGAGGAGGAATAGATGGATTTTTAATAAATGCTGCTGGGGAGATGTGGGTAGAGTCAGACCCTACCTTGCACTGTTCACAGCAGTCAGTCCACACAGACAAGAGGCACAGATGCAAAGAAAAACTGTAAGAACTTTTGGGAGATAGTGTCAGGTAATAATCTTTATGTCCTTACGGTATGTAAGGATTTGTTAAGGTACTAATTATAAAGGAAGATAAAACTTAAATTAGGCTACAACAACATTAAGAACTGGAGACTGGGCTGCCAGTTTCTCTTACTCTTTAAATGTATGTGAATTCTTACCTGCCTGCAAACCTGACACCTTGACAGAAAGAACAGAAACTAACCTGCATGGACACATTCATCCCCAAGCTCTGGCAGCCCATGCTCACGGCTGCGGATGTGCCAGGGGAGCCTTGCTGGGGAGGAGGGTTCTCCCCAAGACCCAGTGGCACTGAGCTGTTTGTAAACCCAGATGCTCCCCAGGAACCTGCAGGAGGGCAGGGCCACAGGGTCGGTGGCACCTCACCTCAGTCACTGTGTGCAGGCCAGGCACTGGCCAGGGTGCCAGGGCTGGGCAAATGCTCACGATGATTTTGCTCTGCAGAAGCCAAGGGGCCCATGCAGGCTGTGTGCCCAGGCCGGGAGCCCAGCGCCTCTGAGGTCTTGACTGGCAAGTTGGCCCTGAAACACCTCTTGCTCCAGGACTTGCTGGACTGCAGCAACCAGGACACCTACCTGCCCAGGGAGCCAGCAGGCCCTGAGCACGGTGGCCACCATCCATGTGCCCGCAAGCAGGCACAGGGGCACACATCCCAGGAGCTGTGCTGTCTCCAGCATAACCAACCTCCAGACCCCATGCCTAGGGTGGCTGTAGGTGGGCCTGTCCATCCAGCTTAGGGAGAGCCCAGATTCACCCTATGCCCCGTCCTCCACAGGGTGTATGGCTGCCCCTCCGCGGAGCCCACTGAGCCTGGAGCAGATGCACCTCCACAGTCACAGTGATCATGATGCTGAGTGATTCAGAGCTCTGGGAGGGCTTGCTGGGACTTCAGGAGCCTGAGCATCTTTTTTTTTTTTTGTATCACTAATGTACACTTACATGAGCAACATTGTGGTTACTAGATTCCCCCCATTATCAAGTCCCCACCACATACCCCATTATAGTCACTGTCCATCAGCATAGTAAGGTGCTATAGAGGCACTACTTGTTTTCTATGTGATATACTGCCTTCCCCGTGCCCCCCACTACATTATGTGTGCTAATCGTAATGCCCCTTATTACCCTTCTCCCTCCCTTCCCACCCACCGCTCCCAGTCCCTTTCCCTTTGGCAACTGTTAGTCCATTCTTGGGTTCGGTGAGTCTGCTGCTGTTTTGTTCCTTCAGTTTTTGCTTTGTTCTTATGCTCCACAGATGAGTGAAATCATTTGGTACTTGTCTTTCTTTGCCTGGCTTATTTCACTGAGCATAATACCCCCTAGCTCCATCCATGTTGTTGCAAATGGTAGGATTTGTTTTCTTCTTGGGACTGAATAATATTTGATTGTGTATATGTACCACATCTTCTTTATCCATTCATCTACTGATGGATACTTAGGTTGCTTCCATTTCTTGGCTACTGTAAATAGTAGGAGCCTGAGCATCCTGAGGTCTCTGGACACCCACTCCCTGCACAGACCCCAGCACAGGAGGAGTGTGGCAATGAGACCAGGTGGCCTCTCCCTCTCTGCAGAGGTTAAGTGAGGAGGCAACCAAAGCTTCTCCCATTTCTGGCAATGTGGGACCTTAGTGAACTCTGCATTTTACTCAGTCTGGAAGCCACATTGTAATGGGACATTCATTTTCTAAGCAATGTTTATTACTCCAGGAGGAAAGCAGATTCAAAATGGACTTGATGTGATGTCCTCGCTTTGGGTGATTAGTGATGCTGTTAACTATGTGAATTTAAGTGGCCATTAAGGAAATGCTTCAGAATTCCTTAGGAAGTTTTATAGGAAATAATAAAGATTACTTTAATGTCAATCACCTTGAACTCAGTCTTGGTAAATTTTAAACCCTTGGCTTTTGGGTGGCCTTTTCAATGGAGAGCTGGCGGTGTATCATGGTGGGACCCCTCTCCTCCCCACCCCAAATTGCTGGGCACTGGGCTCTGAAGTCTGGTGTGAATGGGGCCTGGGTCTGGAGACTGGCTACCAACCCATCCCCAGGTGGGAGAGGGGCTCCACCTTCTACTGTCACTCCCCATCTCCCAAGCTGTCCAAGGCTGAGCCTGAATTGGACCCTCTGCACACAGCAACCTCTGTGGCCCATGCAACATCTGGGAGCAAACTGCTGCTGCCCCAGTCCTACAGGTTGCCCTGCCCTGCACACCTCCGAGAGCTTCCTGGAGGAGGTGTGCCCTAGGGCAGTTACTGAACCTTCCCAACCTCCAGGAGCCATAAGAAGACACAGTCCCTTCCCAGAGGACTTCCCATGCTGTCTTTCCCTCCAGGTCCACCTGTGTGGACCACTCAGGTGACCACATGTATCAGCTCACACCACATGAGGAAGCCCACCTGTTACCACTGCCATCTGTGCTCCCCACTGTACCACCCTCTCCCCATCCTCACCCACCCTTCTCCCAGTCCCTTCCTAGCTTTCCAAGACCATTTCCACCCCTTCCTCTTGACAGAACATGTTCTCCCTCAGGAGACCACCGGGAAGACCCCACATACCCTAGGGGTCTCTCCAGGGTGAGCCAGCCCTCCTGCAGGGTCTCCCTCCAGGCCCCATCCCACCCAGCAACCCCACTGACACCGTGAGCCATGCCTTCAAGAAGCTGCCACACCCTTCTGCCCAGCAGGAAGCCTAGAGTCACCTTCTGTCCTATATGGGACAGTCCCTCTGGGCACCTGCTCCCAGACCCCCAGGCCTGGTGCACCGAGACCCTGCCTCTGGAACTACTGCCTCCCCAGTAACTTGGAACTGGATTGTGTAACCTACACAGTGGCTGCTCTGGCCTCACGGCATGATAGGCTTCAAGTCACTGCAGGCCTGAGGAGCCCCAGTTGCTTACCTGAACTCAGCCTTCAAGAGAAGATGAGCTTCTGGCTTTCAGAGAAGAGGTGGTCTCAGTCTCATACCCAAACTCATAAACCAGAAGATTTCTCAGAGAAATGGTTCAGAGGCAGGGTGGCTAAAAAGTTTTGACAAAAGGAATGACATGTGCTACATGCTGGGCACTGAGCTTGGTATGGATACAATTTGGGGTTGTGTGAGTCATGAACATGGAATAAGACACACAGAGAGGGTTCTAGGCTACATGGTGAGCTTCCACCAGAAAACAATTAGTGCTACATAAAAATATAGTTTTATTGCATCCTGGATTTATAGAAAGTTAGCAAATCCTTAAGAAACTAGAGAAAGAAAGAATGCTCAGGGACAGTGGTAAGCACACAGGAAGTGGGATAGCTTCTTGGAAACAGGCCTTGAGCCCAAAGTGAAGAGCAGAGCTGGGTGAAAGATCCCAGGAGAAATGCAGGGACTCTAGAAGAAATAAACTGAAGTGGCCTAAATTAAACCATAAAATTTTTAGACTTTAAGATAAATCAAAATAAGCTCATAATCAAAGATCACAAAGAAAACCATCATGAGAGTCAGCAGAAACAATAAAAATTGGATTTAGACCCCCAAAACTTCAAATTTGGAATTAGAAATTCACAGTATTAAATAGGATGCAGGATATATTTAAATACATATGAGATAGAGTCACAAAAATAGCCAACAGTATTTCCTAAATGACCAGGAAGACATGTAAAGATCCAAATAGAAATTCTAGAAGTAAAAAATACACTTGTTAAAAACTTAGCAGTTAAATTGACATCAAATTAAACATAGCTGAAGAGAGGATTATTAAACTGGAAAATAATATGAAGAAATTACTCCGAATGCAGATGCAGCCGAGGGGCTGAGAGGGACAGTGTGACAGGAAGTTTGACAAAGTTGAGGAGGGATGAGATCTCAGCCATGTCCACTTAGAGTCCAGGAAGACAAGGGTCCAGGGTGAGTAAGAAGGGAGATGTCATAGGGGATATTGTTAGGGTTTCCCAGAACTAACTAAGAATGAACCCATAGGTGCAGGAGGCCTTATTTACAACAAGTTGCATAAATCAAAATTCACACCCAGACATCTTGTAAAGAAAGACAGACATCAAAGATAATTTGATCTTAAAAACAGCAGAAAGAAACAACAGATAGAATGCAGAGGAACAGAAGTCAGACACAGACTTCTGGATGGGACCAATACAACACAGAGAAATATTACCTACAAAGTGCAACAGAAAACAGCTGTTAGCCCAGAATCGTGAACCCAGAAACTGTATTTAGGAAAAAGATTAAAAAGCACACTTTTAAATGAATAAAAATGGAGTTTACCACCAACAAACTTACACCAAAGGGACTTACAATGATATAAATAAGAAAAATGCTTAAAGGGAACAATAACAGAACCTACAGGGAACAAAAGAGAAAGGCACCATTGGTGGGCATGTCCAACACAACTCTCAATTGCTGTCAGGGCACCAGATTTTAAAGAGTAAAAATATGGATTTGGACAACATGATTAACAAGCCTGGTTGATGGGATATCTACAGGACACCCGACTGTTTTTTAAAGAAATCTGTGTTCTCTGGCAAGCAGGGATTCTTCCCTGCTCAGAGCCTGTGCTAGCTTGAGCAAGTGTCACATCTTGGGTGTGCGGACCAGCAGGCATTGTCTCCATCTGTCTCTGTGGCCTCCCTGACTGCTGAGGTTTCCTGTCTATTGCTGGAGCTGAGCAATCGGATTGTGAACCATGCTGGGTTTTCTTTGTGGCTCTAGTGCTTGTTGTCCATTGGGCTTTCTGAATCTGTGGGTTTATAGTTAACATCAAGTTTGAAAACATTCTGGCCATTATTTCTTCTAACATTTTTTTCTGCACTCCCAGTATTTTCTCCTCTTCTTCAAGGACCTCAATTGAACGTGGATTAGGTGCTTGAAGTTCTACCAGTCACCCATGATCTGGTTTTGCCTTTTTAGCTCTCTTTTCTTGCTGCTTCAGTCTGGATAACTGGTATCCCTATGCTTCAGTGTCCAATCTGCCATTACTTCTGACCAGCATATTTCTCATCCCACACGTGGCAGACTGAATCTGGAGTGGTGTTATATCTCCCACATGTCCACTTTTGGGACATGTGGGGCCCAGATGAAGACTGTTCTCATGCCTGAGTGTCAGGTCTGGGTCAGTATCAGTTGGTATCTTCTCAGTATGGGTCTCATTTTCCTGCTTTGTGCACCAGTAGCTCTAATTGAATGCCAGAAATCACTAAGTTTACCTTTTTAGGCACTAAGTATTTCTTATGATTAGTTTTGAAGTTTATTCTGAGATGCAGTTATATAAAAACTGTTTGATCTCTGTGCCTTGAGGCTCAAATTTGTAGGCAGGACCTGGGCAGTGCTCAGATGGAGGCCACTCACTCCCCACTGAAGGGGCATTTCCATGCACAGCCTGGCACCCCATGAATGTGAGGTCTTCCCATCAGCTAGTGCAGGCGCTGCTGCCAGGGGCTCTTTTCCAGCAGCTGGTTTCCTCGCCTGCATCAGCTGACCAGTTATCAGCTACATACTTGAGGGTCCTCAGATCTCTGCATCCTCTGGTGGCTTTCCTGTCACACCCTGTTTTGTGTGTTCTACCCACTTTGGTCTCCTGATGTACAGATGATCAGGCTCTGCCCAGCTGCCCTCCCTGCACCATGCTTGGACACCATCCAGGCAATCAGGGGCGGTTTCCCATCACTCAGGGGGAACTGTCCTCTGTTGCCTGATGTTCAGTATCTTGCAAACCATTGCTTCACATAGTTGCTGCTGTTTGGGGTCATTTCACATTAGAGGGGAATCTGATCATATCACTCCGTTGCCTGGAGACAGAAGTCACATGACAGCATGATGTCCATTAGATGTTGCTTTGTGGAGGTCCATTTTCATTGCAAATCCAGGACATGCAGTCATGCAGGAGGCACTGACTGAGCCTAAAAAGGCTCGGGTTGCTGCTGTGTCATGAGGCGGTGTAGGAGCACCTGGACCCAGCGTGCCACGAGCCAGACCCAGCAGCCCAGGCATTGGGCCTCGGGCCCTAGGGAAGAGCAGGATGGAGGGGCGACACTTCCTGAGAGCAGGGGCTGTTCAGACGACATGGGGAGAGGTTGTGAGGGCAGGGTAGCTGCTGCCTTCACCAAACTGGGATCGTTGGTGGGAGAGAATGTCAGCCTAAGTTAATTTGGTAAAGATGGGCATGTCCTAAAGGGCAGATTTTGCTGCCATGTAAGAGCTGACCCCTGACGTGGGCTCCCCAGGAGCCTGTCCCCACGATCCTTTCTGCAGGGTGAGACTGTTTTGGAGATGGCAAGTGACTTGTTTGCCACCTGAAGCCCTCTCTAGGGCTCCTCCGCATGAACTGTCTTCTTACATCTTGTGCACAGACCCTCACAGAGGACCCTCCTCAAAATGGCCTGATTTTGAGGTGTTAAATTGGGTTTTCAATTTTTATAACTTTATAACTTGTTGACACACTCCACATCCTCTCAAAGAGACTAGACAGGCTCCTTGTCCACGCACACCTCAGACTCTGCACTTTGTAAGGACTCCTCATCATGACTCCACTGGGCAGCACCATCCCTCCCTGGAGCCGGAGCATTCTAGAGCTGAACAAGCAGATGGCAGCACAGTTAGAAAACACAAGCGCACCTGTGCAGTCACCATACGCCTGTGTTATCGTGACGTCGGGGAGGGAAGAGCCACAGTCAGGCTGCCTCGGGTGGGCATACGAGACACCATGCCCCACCTGTGAGTGCAGCAATGGCAGCCGCCAGGCCCTGGGCAAACCTCAGGGTCACTGTGTTCGGAGCCCCTGCTTAATCTTTAAACAAAGCCCATGTTTTCATTATGAGCAGGTCCTGCACAAGGCTGGCCCTGACCACAACACCCACTCCAAGATATGGAGGTCCCCAGACCTGCTGCCATGCTGGTCACTGTGAGAAGACGTTTCCTTCCTCAAGCCAGGCCCAGCAGGGCAGAGGGAGGTCCTCAGGGTCTCCTCAGTGGCCCAGTTGCCTGGGCTGCAATGGCAGTCCCAGCTGCAGGCCTCTGACTCCTGAGCCAGGGTGCAATGTGTACTTCCATTGTGGAGGGGACTTCCCAGCCTGATGAGACCCCGTCCACTATTTTTGGTGGTTTTGTAGAGGCCTGAGCAGCACACTGTGCACACCAGCTTTCATCATAGCTTTGGGACCCTGTGCACAGCAGCCCAGCTCCCACCCCCATCAGGTCCAGAGGCAGAACGCCAGGCCACCCAAAAGGCAGGGTCGCCTCTCTCCTTGCTGGGCAGGTGTGCCAGGCTGCCCTGTCTTCCATGCCCTACCTCGGCTTCCCAGGGACCCATCCCACTGTCTTCTGATTCTGGAGCCTGGTGCCCATGGCCTGTGGCAATCTTACCACCAGCAAGATCAGCAAGCACGTGTGGGAGGTCCTGAGAAGTGGGCAGAACAGTCACCTTTGGGAAGTATGGCAATGGGAGCATAATGAGTAATATTTCCATGACTTCATTTGCATTGTTAATAATGACTGCCAGGCTGTGGAGCCTGGGCCATGTGGGACAGGAGAGGGCGCAGTCCAGCTTGAGCCTCCAAGAAACAGTCCTGAGCCCTGGAGGACTTCCTGCCTTCCCACTGGAGTGTTCAGACTTGCCTGGTCTCCAGAGAGTGTGACTTTCGGGGAATGAGATTAGACAGAAGCCCCCCTTCAGCCAGTTTTGAGCACAAGTAGAAACCAGGGGGCTTGACAGGAGGCATGGGCCTTGAGACCCCCATGGACTTTGGGAGGGGCTGAGCTACCAATGGCCTGCCTGCCCCCAGCTGCCCATGGACAACCACATCCTCCCTGTGGACTGGCACTCTTGTACCACTGCCCTTTCCCCCTGACCTCCCCTCCTGGCTGTGGACCCACCCCCGTGAACACACCCCAAGCCCTGACCTCCCTTCCTGGCTGCAGACACCCCCATCCCCCAGAAAACACACAGTCCTTTGCTGGACTCCCCAACCTGGCTGGAACCCCAGGAGCCTGAAGGTGGCCCTCACCTGAGACTCCCCTCTTGTATGAAATGCTCAGACCATCAGAGCCCAGAAGGGGGATGGATGTTCATGGGGGGTGGGGGCTGGGGTCCACAGCCAGAAGGGGTCAGAGCCTGGAGTGTGTTTATTGAGGGGCGAGCAGCCTGTAGCCAGGTGGGGAGGTCAGAGCATGGGGTGTGTTCATGTGGGTGGGCCCACAGCCAGGTGGGGCCAGAGCGTGGGGTGGGCAGGGGTTTCTTGACCTGCTCCAGTGGAACAAGATCAGTAAAGCTGGAAGCAACCTACAGGCCACCTCCCCCTTCCACCCCAGACTGGTCCTCTCAACAGCCTCAGGAGACCTCCTCCCTCCAGGGACTCCTGGAGGACAGACAGAGGAGCCCCTGCACGCAAGCCCCAGCACTCAGCGCTGAACGGGGCCCAGACCTTAGCTAAGCAGCCCGCCCTGCTTCCGAACCTGCGTGTCCCACCGTAGGGCCGGCCTGGGAGGGAGGGGCAGCAGGTGTGCCCCAGGAAACCCAGCGAGGCCCAGACCGAACGCGGGAAGCAGGAAGGCCCCAAACTGGGGTGAGGACCGGGGTGGGGTGCAGCCACTGCGCGTCCCCGGGGAAGGCTGTCCAGTGCGCGCGGTGCCTGGTGCCGGAACGGACGTGCCGCCCACCTCCGGCCAAACCCCAGCTCTTGGGCCCGCTAGGTGCTCGCCACACGCTCACCCTGCCTCCCAAACTCTAGGCGCCCCAATCCCCGACCCCGACCTGCGCCCCTTGTCGGCGCGAGAATCTCCGAGGACAGGCCAGCGCCCCGGGCGCACCACCCGGGGAGGCCTGTCCGCGTGCCCATTCATCCTCCCGGTGCGGCCGCGCTCATCCACCCGCGGGGCGCGGGGTTCGGGCCGCCCGGGGGTCCGGGAGCCAGGTGCGACCGCACCGGCGACGGCCCCGCGGGGTTCCTACGGCGGTACGCAGTGGCAGCCTTGTAAGGCATAGGCGGCGCTCAGACAGTCCTCTGTGCGCTCCGCGCGCTCCCCGGGCGGGGCGGGGCCGGAGGGCGGGGCGCCGAGGAGCGCGCGAGGCGGACCCGGGGCCGGGCCGGGCCACTGAGCGCGCGGGACAGGCCAGTGAGCGCGCGGAGCGGGAGGGGGCGGCGCAGGTGCGCGCCGGACACCGGGTCGCGCGCGGCCGAGTTGCGGAGGCGCTGCCGGGATTCCATGAACCCGTTTCTGGTACCGCTCCCGGTGCAGTCGCTGCGTCTTGGAGGTAAGATCCCAGGGCGCGGAGCGTTGGTACCCGGCCCGCTTCTCCCGCCACCTGCTCCCGCGGGCCTGGGGTGGGACCCCGCTCCGGGCGCCCGCCGAGCCCCTCCCGGACCTGCCCGCACGTCCGTGCGCCCCGGGGCTGCCAGACGGTCGGGCTGCGTCTGGGGCGCGGGTCTGAGGACGCGGAAGGCACAGGCGGAAAGGAGCCGCGGTGCAAAGGACACGGTGGCTAATAAGTGGACCCTAACTGTGGCCTTTCGTCGCATCACTGCCTAACGCGACAAAGGACGCCCCTTAGCCCCTTCCCCGGCGCCGCCGCCCCCGCCTCTCCATGTCCAGCTACACACACATTGGTTCCCCCCACACGTTGGGGGCCGCAGCCGGCGAAGCGGAAGGATTTGGGATGCAGCTGCTGCCCTTCCAGGGATTTCGGGAGACCCACGGCCGCAGGAAGGGCTCAGAATGAGCGCGGTACTTTGGCGAGGGATCCCAATCCCCTCTGGCCGGGCGTTAACATCCCATTATCAGCCATGTGAGGGTGTCGCACCTCCACTATGCAAATCTAGAAGCTTCCCTGAAGGGTGTTGCTTTCTTATCGCATCTGAACATAGAACTTGGCAATCAAGATAAAAGATGTTCGCTGCCAGTGTGATTTCTCCGCACGCCTCTAGGGAGCAGCACCCTGCCTTTGAAGGAGGACCCTTAATCCTGGGGTGCACTCATGTAAATGAAGCCTGTTAATGAGGTGGCGAGAAAACCCTTTCTTGTCCCCCCTCCCCCTGACTACTATTTTGATGGGCGGTTCGTGCCCTCTGAAGATCAGGCACCTTTCAGGATAAGCTGGCTATGCTGTCATCCATCTGCGTGTTTACTGGTTAATTCGCTTGACATTTATTGGATACTTGCAGAGTCGCTGGGGAACGCTGGTAAAAGGACCCAGCTTCTGTGGCCCGGGCCGCCTGCCTCCCGGGGCTCCCCATGGCCAACCTCTGAGGGGGAATGCTTGTGGGGCGGCTCCCCGGAGCCTAGGGGATGATCGGGAAACGCTGACCTGATTCTCAAGTGCACTGGGGCCCCACAGGGGATGCAGCAATGGGGCAGGGGGCTGGAACAGGCAGGAAATGGGGGAAGGGGGCAGTGGGACAGAGGGCTTCCTGGATGCCTTAAACTGGATTCCATGATCCCGATTCTGGTACCAGCCGCTGTTCCCATCACAGGGCCCGATCACAGGGCTTGGTGGTGGGTGACCGGGGGGAGCTGATGAACTTACCCGAGCTTCTGCAGAATGCCATATGGGGTGTGTGCGTTTCCCTGGGGAAAGTGTTTGCGGCTATCATGATTTCCAAAGGATCTGAAACTCAGAAAGGTACCATAATGTAAGCGCTACATTAAAGAATACCTCTCATCTACACGGAGTGATCCGATGGAGAAGAGAAGCTGCTCTTATCTCCCTGGCTGTGTTTGGCTGATTTTCTCGAATCCTTTGAAGTTGCAATAAATTACTGTTTTAACTATATACAGGCTTACAGTATTTACTGGGGAAAATGTACAAGTCACAGGAGAATTTCATAAAGAAAATTAAAGTCACTCATCACTGATTGAGGTTTCCGAGAAATCTTTGAGCAGCCAGACGGTCTTCAGGGGCAGCCTTGGTGTGGCTTCCTTCCCTGGTGGGCAGTTGAGCCGTTCCTGGCAGGAGAGGCTGAGAGTTAAAGGCTTCTTCCTCTGGGAGCCAGGCCTATTTATAGCTAGTGAGGTTGCTGGTGAGGCAGGAGGAGCATGTAACAAGGACTGCCATCCAGGGTCTTGGGGCCGTGAGGTCTGTGCACTGAGCCCAGTCTGGTACTGCCCAGCAGCCGTGCTGGACCAGGGTGCTGGGCACAGTGCTGAGTCCTCCCGAGGTCACTAACTCTGGACCAGGCAGATGTGGGATTAGGCAGGGGAATCAGCAATGCCCGTCTCCTGCACTTACAAGTAACAGGTGTTTACCGTGAAGGAAGGGGTGGGACCCACACGTGGTCTCTAGCTCCCCACGTGGACCCGCCCTATGGTTCAGCCCCACCTGCGGAGACCAGCTTCCCCACCTGGTGGGGAGGTAGCCCCAGTATCACAACCAGCAACGACCGTGACCCACAGCCTCCCTGCTCAGCAGCTCCTTTCAGAGAGGGGCGCCTCCTCTGCAGCATCTACATGCCAGCTCCTGGGAATGGCTTTAATTGGCCCCACTGGAGTCCCTGGGGAGGGTGCCTGCTTTGGGATGCCAGCCCCCAAGAACCACTGTGGGGGGAGGGCAGTTTCCGAGGGGAGCATGCTGCCTCCAAATCTCCTTCCCTAAGATGGGACTTAAGACTTGCCAGGCTCCACGCTTCCCTTTTAACTGTGGGGCGCACGCAGTGGCATGCAGCAGCAGCAGCAGGTCAGGTGCGAGCTGTTGTGTGATGTTCGATTGTCCAAATGCAGGCCCTTTGGTGAGGACGTGGAAGTGTCACGGAGTAGAAGCCAAGGACGGTTTTCTGACTTTGCGCCGCCATGTCGTCTGCCGTCCCACCACCACGCTTGGTGGCCTGTGCAGCTCTGCCGCCTGTGGGGCACCATCCCTCCTAAGAGCACGTTCAGCCACCGTTGTCTCTTTTCAGTTGTACTGTGAAAGGGAAGGATGAGTCCTTACCTTACTCCAGGCTTGAAAGGTAAAAGCTGCTGGACCCCTTTCCTGCTCCTCTACTTTCCACTCCCACATGTCCCTGATGCGTCCTGGATCTCTGGTTTTCTTGCCAGGAGAAGTGGGGTGCTCCGTGTGGGCTCCTCGTGACCTCCTCCACCCAGGGCCATGGTTCTCAAGACCTCATCCTGTCACACCTGTTTATTCAACAAATGTCCACTAAGCACCTGCCAGGTGCCATGTGAGCCAGCATGGCCTCTGCCCTGGGAAGCTCTCATGCCAGCAGGGATGTCACCAAACAGCCAACATCCTTTCGGGTGGGGTGTGGATGTGGGCTTCAAACCCAGGTGCCTGGGTGGACCACCCATAAGGAAGGGTATTTTAAACCATTCTGTGTGCGCCTCACAGTCGCTGTCCATGTGACCTTTAGCCCCACGCTGCCCCTCCCCCACCCAGATCACCTAATGCTGTGCAGCAGGCCCTTCCAAAACCTGGGGCTTAAGACAGTGACAGCACTGGCTTTGCGCACGAATCCGCCCTCGGCATGTGTGGGCATGGACAGCTGGTCTCCATTCCCCCTGCCTGGGCTGGGCAGTCTGTCCCAGCCTCCTCTACTCATGGCAAGTGTGACTGGCTGGCATGGGAGCTCCTGTCTCTGTGTGGGGTCTCTCCACTGTCGGCGTCAGCTGCCAGCTCACCTCTCAGCTCAGGTCCTGAGAGAGAGCCAGGAGAGAGAAGTGCTGCCCCTCAGGGTCTGACTTGAGGAGTCAGCAGCTTCACTCCCACTGTGGCCCTGGTTGAGGCTTGGGAAGACCCCTCAGGTTGGGGGCACATGGGTGGAAGGCGAGTCAGGGTGACCGAAGCTGGAAATTCAGGCCTGCCTTCCTCTTGATTCTTCTGGAGACCCTTTGTGCCAGACCAGGTAGTCCCTGATGTGAGGCCTAAGCCTTCGGCAGCAGTTGGTGGCCTGCTCACCCCTGCACCTCCAGCCCTGTCCTCTGTGCTGTGGTGGCCAGCCATCCGCCTGTCCCTCCTGGCTCTGGCCTTCCCCGGACGGCTGCTGTCTGTCTCCCCTGGCACAGGCCCGCCTGGGGAGATGTCCCATTGGCCACCACCTGCTCCACACTTGCCCGGTCCTGATTCACAGAGCCCGCCAGGCCCCGCTCTCATGTACTCCTGTGCAGGACACCCATCTCCCTGCCTCTGCGGTGCGGGGGGAGCGAGGGGGAGTGGCTGGCCGGTGCCTCTCGCTGCAGGGCCCCCACCCTGGCTGTTTGCTCCATGAACCTTCTTTGCTTTGTCCCAATTGCATCACAGACATAAGTGTCACTCAGGACACAGATTACTGTCCCTAAAGAAGGATGATTTCAAGTGGCACCAGAATGAAGTCATGAGCTTCTGTTCATCAGAAAGATCACTCAGGGCGCGGAAGGGCAGCAGGGCAAAAGGCAGCGTGAGTGGGCTTGTCTCCAGAATGCCTCCTGCCCACCCAGGGCCCCGGCTGTCCACCCACACGGCACCGGCCGCCCTTTCCTCCTGCCCCCAGCGCCAGATGCTTGTCGTGGTTTTACCACCTAAGGTTAGTGTCCAGCCCAACGTCTGTGAAACCAGCCAGCCCGCACTGCATGCGTCCAGCAGCTGGTCGAGCCCCGCCCACCACCAGCCCCCTGGCATGGGAGCTGATGGCTGTTCATTGCTTCCATTTCTGCTGGTTTGAGTGCAGGTCTGGGGCTTCCTGGGGGTGCTCGTGCACCTGGTCAGGTAAAGCCCAGAAGGGGATGTGAGGCCCCGGCCATGTCTGTCTTCAGGCCAGTTCTCCCTGAGGCCATCACCCCACAGCCTGGCATGCGCAGGTTGTTGTGTTCTGGGGGCGAGGCCACTTTGCCTCATGCGGGTCTGGGCGCTGGCTTGTACACTCGTGGCAGCGCCTTCTCCAGCGATCAGCCTGTTTGTCTTCACCTTCCAGTTGATCTGCAGGGTCTCTGCCTGAGGCCTCATTACTCTGCCTTCCCTACTTTTCAACTCACCTGTGCTGAACAGATGGCCTGAAGGGTCCATTTTCTTCTGTTTTTGTTTAATTTTCCAACTGTCTGTTCAATTGGCCTATCCCCACTTGCTGAAAATGTGCTCCTCCCCTGATGCTTTGGACCACCTTTGTCACAGGCAGTGCATCCATGTGCCCCGTGGCCTCTGGCACCAGCACGTACCATGCTGCCCTCTTGTCTCGGGCTTCCTATCATGTCTAGTGTCCTAGGAGCAAATCTCCTTCAAGATGGCTTGTTTGTTCAACGCCCTTTGCCTTTATATATATTTTTTAGATTCAGCTTTACTAGATAACCATATGTAAAAATTGTTGGAATTTTTATTTGGATTAAAGTTGTGGATGAATTTAGGGATAATTGACATCTTTGTAATTCAGAGTTAAGTCCATGTTTGTAACGAATGATTCAGACCTTTTATTTCTTTCAATAATGCTTCAGTTTGCATGTCAGTGGCCTTGCACATTTTCATTAGATTTATTCCTAGGTAACTGATGTTTCTTCCTGACACTTCAAATGGCACATTTCTGAGTATTTCTGAGTGTTCTGTTGTCTGTTTCTGCTGCTACACAGAAATAAAATGGATTTTTACATGGCGACCATGTATCCAGAAACAAAGCTAAACTTACTGATTCTCATAATTTTCCTGAGATTCTTCTGGGTTTTGTACACACGCAATCGTAGAAATCTCCAGTAAGGACGGTTTCATTTCTCCCTTTCCTATTCTCACAGCTTCATTCCCTCCTCTTGTCTTGCTGGACTGATGGTGAAGATAGGGCCAAGCCCAGCCCAGCCTCTTGGTCTTGCTCATTTGAGAAGAAAAGTGTTTAGCATTCCAACTGCGAGGAGGTTAGCCTGGCGGCCTCTACTGTAGCTGGAACAGAGGCCAAGCCACACCACAGCTGCGGGGTTGCAGTTCCATGGTCTCCATTCCGGTGAGTCTGGCACTTCCCGGGAAGCAGGGCAGGGGGAGGAGGTGGGGTGCAGGAGAGGAGGTGGGGTACAGGGGGAGGAGGTGGGGTGCAAGAGAGCAGGAGGAGGGATGCAGGCTGGAGAGCAGCTTGGAGGGGGTGGTTTGTAGCCTGAGGAGGGGGCTCCAGCTCAGGACTAGGTGGAGGCCTGCCCCAGGTCCCAGGGACGGGTCCTGCTGGCCAGTCTGGGCCTAGGCCCCCGGACCCCCTTGGCCATGTCAGGGCCCAGTTGGTCCTGTCCTTGTCAGACCCCATGTTGGACCCCAGTGGGCACCTCCATCACTCAGGGCCACAGTCAGCCTCCTGGCTGCAGAGCGAAGGGCCTTGGTCCTGAACCAGGGCTCTCGCTGGGAGTGACCCTGCCTTGGCAAGGCGTCTCCATGGGCAGCTGGGCTGGAATGTCTCCCCTCCCCCCCATGAGAGGCTAAGGAGTCCACAGCTGGGAGGAGCCGGTGGGGACAGAGCTGCCTCCGGCCCTGCTACTGGCTAGGGGATGGGGTCCCACCCCAGTCCATGCATCTCAGACCTCGGTTTCCCCGTGGAGTTCAGCTGTCTGAGGTCTTGGGTGCGCTTTGTCATGCCACCCCCACCTGGGTCTCCACCTGCTCACTGACCTGCTGGACCCTGACCTGCGTTCTGTGCCCCCTCCTCACAGTGGGTCCCCACCCTATTTGCCCAGGGGCTTCTCATCCTCCTTCAGCTACAAGCTGCTCCCTGGAGGAGGAGAGCCATTCACTGCCCAGCTAAGGCTGGGTGACACCAGAGTCACCCCTACAGAGCAGGGTCAGAGGTCACAGGAGCATCTGGGAGGCATGGCCAGGCAGAGACTCAGGGTCAGGGACGTTCCCAGGACAGTGTAGAGATACTGTGGAGTGCAGAAGGTGCTGGAATGTTCTCAGACATGCCCACTGGGGAGTCTGGGGCAGGCTGTGTGTTATGGTTCTTTGCCTATGTCTCTGAGCAGGGAGGCTTCTCCACATCAGCCTGCAGGGCTCCATCCTCTGTGGCCCCATCTGCAGGTCTGTGTGGACTTGGGGGTGGGGGTGGACAGCTTCAGCCACAAGGCCCAGTCCAGCCCCAGATCCTGGGTGCAGCTGCTTCCTGGGCCCGAGGCCAAGCTGCATGAGTGGCCACCATTCACTCACTCGGTCCACTGATGCCATGAGAAATGGGGACTGCCCTGGGCACAGGTGCCAGGGACATCCGGCAGCCAGTCCATGCCCATGGCACCGCTGTGAGCCCACCCAGATGGCGGGTGGGAGCCTGCAGCCACGTCAAAAAACACTGCTGGTGCAGAACAGGCTCAAGGGGCAGACGAGCTGCGCACAGCAACCCAGAGACAGAAGCGGGGCAGTGTTCACCACGTGCGTGTGGAGACCAGTGGACCAGTGAGGGGGCGGGGTCCTGAGCGGGGATGGGGTGGGGGCAGGACCCCAACCAGGCCCAGCGCAGCCCCCCAGCTCAGCCCCAGGTATGTCCGCCAGTGTGTCCAGACCCAGGAGCGGAGGAGCCCCAAGACCAGTGTCCCCTGGAGAAGATTCCAGAAAAGCTAGGAGGGAGGCAGGGAGAAGTGGTATGTCCAGGGGTGAGTCACCCCACGGGGAGTGCCCAAGGCTCCCACAGCCGGCGCTGACCCAGACCTTGGTTCCGGAGCCACATGGTGGCTTCCTTTCCTGCCCTCTATCCCAGCTGCAGGGGTTGCCTTCAAGCTATGGCATGTAGGCATGTGCACACAAATGCACACAGGGCCCACACATGTGTGCAGACACGCATGTGCCCACATGCGCACACCCAGGCAGGCTCAGCCAGTCCACATAGCTAGTGGTCAGGAGGTGACATATATGGTCGGCTCATCCCCAGGACTGATGCTCTGGGTGAGCCCTGGAGACCCCGTATGCAGGAGCCCTACCCCCACCCCACCCCATGGGGGCACATGAGTCCTGCTCTGGCACCACACACGTGGGCACTGGGAAGAGAGTCCCATCAGGTCTTGGCCCCTGTCCCGGGAGGCAGGACCCCAGCAGCCTGGCCATTCAGGGGCTGAGGCTTGGCCTTGGCACCCAGGCATGGCAGCCCCCCTCCCCCCACTAAAGAGCCCAGGGCTGCTCAGGGACTCCCAGTATCTCTACTTTAGCTCTCTGTGGGGGTACATGGTCTGTGAGGGGGACAGCTGTGGCCCCACCCAGCCCAATGAGGGGTAGTGGTCATGACGCAGTCAAGGCCAGCTATGGTGGCTGAAGTGGTCACTGCCGTGGCCCCTAGAAGGGTGCAGGCTCAGGCCCCATGTGGGGGTGGGGGGCACTGGCTGGGACCCATGAGGGGTAGGTAGGTGGTGGGGGCTTACACCCTTGTCCCTGGGAAGGCAGAAGCAGACAGCACCTGCCCCTGGCAGGGTCAGAGGGGAGCAGCACCCCAGGAAGGGTCTTGGGAGCTCAGTGTCCTGGGCGGGGTTTTTGTGGGGGGGGCGGCTGTCAGTGTCCCTGGCCGGGTCCTTGTGTCCTACAGGACGGCCTGGAAGACTAGGGGGCCACTGAGGGACCCTAGGGGTCAGGTCTGAGGAGGCTGCTGGGGTTCTTGTTTGGAATCGGGGGGAGTGTGTGTTGGGCCACGCGCGCCCCGGTGTACGGGACACCTTGGCGCTCGGCATCTCTGGAAGGCCGCTCAGCGGCCGCCTGGCAGAAACGCCTTCGCCTGGTGGAAGATGTGTGGCAGAACCGCAAAGCTCTGACTGAGAAGAGCCACTGTTTCTGTTTGCGGCCGGTTGCCAATGCTCCGCGGGCGGCCGCGCCTGGTATCTGCAGCCGCTGTTTTGGTCCCGTCGCCACGGCAGCGCCTGTTGGTTTGGAAGTTACCAAGGGCTAAGCTTTCGGTGCGTCTCTGCAGCTCTGGGCAGGTCGGAGGAAGGCCTGCTATCGAGACAGGCACCCGCGGCCGGTCTGAGACACTGGCCACTCTCGACCTTGTGCGCACGGGCGGAGCTTGTGTGCCGTGGACGGTAACTTCCCCTCCCACCCTGCCTGCTGTCTGCGTGTCCGGGCTGGGCAATGGAGCCCCCACCGCACAGATAAGAGGCCAGGCCCCAGGGGCAGAGGAGGGTGGGGTTTTCGCTGACCGCCCCCCTAGTGGCCCATGCACAAGCGTTCTTTGCAACTCCGCTGCAGGGGGTTAGGAGGTGGCAGGGCGGCGGGCTGGGCTCTGGGTAGCAAAGCTGCTCTCTTGACACATACTCTGCGACCAAGACACAGTGGGAACCGTGCAGCAAGGCGTTCAGGCTGTCGGCAGAGGCTCGCCAGCCACGAGCAATCGGCGTTTGCCGCGTGCCCTGGAAACAGCAGACGGGGCCCAGTTGCCAGCCAGCGCACGGGAGTGGCAGGGGAGCCGCCGAGCCCGGATCAGAGCGACTGTGGGGTGGGTGGGCGCCGGCAGGAGGGGCCGTAGGGCTGGCAGAGCTCCGCGAGTGATTGACATCTGAGACGCTGGCCAGCGACACAGCAACCCCGCGGGCCTGTCTGAATGCCCCAGGGCTCCCCCACCCCCGCGCTGGACCTTAACTGCCCTGGCCTCCCTCCGGGCTGGTGGGCGAGGGCGGAGCGCGTGTCCCGAGGGTAAGCTCAGGCTGCGGGGTTAGGGCGGCTGCGCAGGCGCTCGCCTCTGCAGGGTCTTCTGGTGGCCGTCCTCGGAAGTGCAGGCCCTCCTGCCACAAAGCCAGGGCCTCCGTGTGAGCCGGTGGTGCGTAGGTGGCTGAGGGTCAAAGCTTGGCAGCGTGGGAGTCGGGGATCCTTCGCCCACTGGCTCCCCGTCGAGTGGACGTGGGTATCAGATAACAACGCACGCAGGTCTTTAAAGAGGATGGCTTGGCTCAAACCCTGCAGAGGCCACACCAGCCCCAGGCCACCTAGCCCTGCAGGAGGCGGACTCCACGTCAGGAGGAATGTCTTCCCACTCAGGGGACGCACTCAGTGTTGGGGTCACAGCTGCCGGGCTATCAGCAGTCCCCACTTCGATCCTCAGCCTCATCGTGGTCCCTGGGCCTGGGCCAGGTCTGCATGTGGGGCTGGCTGCTGAGCCCAGCACCCCTGGGCGCGAGCAAATCTGGAGTCCGCCAGGGGAGGCCGACCACACAGCTGGGCCCTCTGTGAGCCTAGCTGGAAATCAGGGGCTGCAACCCCACCAGGCAGGGCTCCCCCACATCCATCCCCACTGGCCCAGGGGCTGATGGGGATTTCCAGGAGGCTCCTCCTCCTCTGACCCTCATCTGTGCTGTGTGTGGCCCCTTGACATCCTGCTTCCTGCCCACACCCGTGTCCTGGTCAGCCAGGCTGCTCTCTGGACAGGTCACCTGGGTCCCAGCTTCTGCTGGGTGGGGAGCCTCTCACCCAGTTTTCCCTGACCCAGAGTGGTAGGTTGTCTGAGATGCCCAAGCAGGCTGACCACTGCCTGTGGGTGCAGGGCCTCCGGGAGTGCCACCACTCACTGACCCAGAAGGTTCTGGTGAAGAGGTGGGGGCCCCGTGCTCCATCCTAGGACACATGGGCCCAAAGGCCAGGAGCCTCATGGTGCTGGCCCTGGAGGCGCATGCACACAGCTGTCCTCAGAGGACTGTGCTGGCATCTGCCCATTTCGGATGCCCCTGGCCAGCCCATGGTGTAGCTGGGTGACCTTTGGGAGTGACACTGTCCAGGCCCCAGCCTGCCCTGAGCTGGGCCTGGAGGCCCAGGGGACACAGGACTCCGGAGGTAAGGTGAAACCCTAGGTCACAGGCCTTGTTACTACCGGGCCGGCTTTTTAGCAGAATAACAGCGATGAGCAGGTGCTGCCGGCCCCAGAACAGGGAACCCTCTAGTTCTGGGGACTCTGGAGAACAGGTTTGCTCTGTGTCCTGAGAGTGTAAGGTGACCAGCTGTGCCTGGGGAAGAGACTGGCATTGTCATTCTGGAACTTGCCGGGGGCACAGCAGCAGGGAGCCAGGTGCCCTGGGAAGAGCTCCCTGCTGGCACAGATGCCTTGA